ACAGCAAGCCTTCTAAGCCAGAGCTCACTTGCCTCTGAAACACCATCTCTTGCCACCAAACATAAAAGTGCTTATAAAATAAAGGGCTAATATAACCATGCAAAAGAAAATAAACCTTGATATCTTGCATGCCTCATACAAAAAGTAACTCAAAATGAATTATGGACCTAAATGTAAAACCTGGAAAATATCAAAATAAAGCATAAGGGACTATCTGTGTAATCTGTGGGTTAAAAACTTTTTAAAAAGCATGCTCCATTTTCTAAAAATGACAAATCGGATTTATCAAAATTGAAATCTGTGTTTTGAAAGACACCATTAAGAAAATAAAAAGATAAGCCACACACTGGAAGTTGATATTTACAAAACATACCTGATAAAGGGCTTGCATCCAGAATATACAAAGAACACTCAAAACTCAGTAAGAAAATAAACCTCCCCATTTAAAAAAAATCAGCAAAAGATTTATACAGTTACTTCACCAAAGGAAAGATTCAATGGCAAATAAATTCATTTTAAGATGTTCACAGCTGGGCATGGTGGCTCATACCTATAATCCCAGCATTTTGGGAGGCTGAGGCAGGAGAACTCATGAGCCCAGGGGTTCAAGACCAGTCTAGGAAACATAGTGAGACCTCATTTCTCAAAAAAAAAAAACCCAAAAATTAGCCCAGGAGTGGTGGCAATTGCCCATACTCCTGGCTACTTAGGAGGCTGAGGTGGAAGGATTGCCTGAGCCTGGGAGGTTGAGGCTACAGTGAGCTTCAGTGCCACGCACTCTAACCTGAGCGACAGAGTGAGACCCTGACTCAAAAAAAAAAGTTCAATTCCAAAAATAAATAAATGTTCAATTCTAAAAAGTTCAATTCTATTATGTACCTATTAGAATCACTTTTAAAAGCCCCCCAAACCCAAGTACCAAGGATCAGGAGCAGCTAGAACTGATTTCTTATAAAGTTCAACATACACCTGTTACGTGATGCAGTGACTCTACTCTTTCCACTTAGTAAGAAAAGTGAATGCACACATCCATCCAAAGGTTATTATGTGTATGTGTATAGCAACTTTATTCATAATAGCCTTAAACTGAAAACCACTCAAAAGTCTACTAACTAGTGAATGGTTAAACAAATTGTGGCGATCTATGGTCCACACAATGGATCATTACTCAGCAAGACTAAAGGAACCACTGAGATATGCAACAACATGGATGGATCTTGAAAGTTTTATACTAAGTGAAAGAAGGTGGACACAAAATATAACATTCTGGAAAAGACAAAACCACAGGGACAACAATTAGATCAGGTTACCAGGGGCTGGGGAGTAGATTTTCTACAAAGGGATACAATGGAATATTTTAGAGTGATGGTAATGTTCTATATATTTTGATTGCAGTCATGATGGCATACTGTATATATTAGTTAGAATTCATCAAACTGTACACCTAAACAGGATGAACTTTATGTAAATTATACCTCGATAATCTGACCTTAAAAATGATAAGAATGGGCAACGCTTCAGGTCCCCTCCCACTGTGGGAGCTCTTCTGTCCTCTCAATAAATCCTGCTTTCTCAAAAAAAAAAAAAAAAGATAATAATGAGGGCAAGAGTTGCCTATCTGCCTTTGGGAATGGAAGTGACTTGCCATGTGCTGGTTCCAGCAGATAGCTGGGCTTCCCCTGCCCTTCTTCCTGCCTGGTAGTCCTCTTCCTGCCTGGTAGTCCTCCTCCTGCACTTCCTGGTGTGATGCAGGGAATGGGAGAAGTGCTAGGCTAGGAGACCACTCAAAAGAGTGAGAGGTCTGGGTACCAAGTCCAGCTCAGTTTCCAATGTTAACTTGGGCAAGTCACTTAATCACCCTAAGCCCAGTTGCCCACTTCCTTCCAGGTCTATGATTCTAATCTGGAGTCTGAAAGGAATGAAGGATATTATATCCAACAAGTTGTGTTTCCTCACCCTGAAGGCCTGAGGAAATGACAGGGCCGAATACCCTCCCCCATTCTTCAGAGGCCCATTTTTCTGCCTCCAGGTACTCTAGTGGACACTCTGTCCTCAAAAGCCTTAACCCCTAGAAGTTCTCAAGAGAGGCAAATGGTTCATCAGCAACCCTTAAGGCTACACCCCTTGATTCATATAAATGAAGTCAGTAGACAGTAGCTTCCTAAACTCCATCCGGGTACCATGTACACTCTGTTATCTTTGGAGCCTGGGCATATTCCACGTGCAAATATTTAAGAGCAACTCAGGCTCCCCACACAAAACAGCAGGGATAACACCCTCCACCTGGCCTCAAGGCTGTGCCCTGTGGGAGCTCCCTCTTCAGCCTTCAGACACACTACATACCTCTGCAAACAGGGTTGCTATGGATTCAGTTTCTGGACCTGAGTATAAGAGCCTAAATTTCCATTCCACCATTTGCTAGCTGTACGTCCTTGAGTGAGATATTTAAGCCACAGTTTCCCCTTCAGTAAAACAGGGACAATAGTACCCATCTCACAGGGCTGTTGGACTGATTAAATAAATCAGTATGTGTCAAGTTCTTAGAACAGCGTAGCAAGCGCTTAGTGTTAGTTATTATGATTTAATTTGACTTAATTTGAAAACTGTCTTTTTTTTTTGTGAGTCTTGGCAAATGCTGAGGTTTCTTTATTAATGTTCAATGTCAGAAGATGAACTCTCTTGGGACAGAGGGAAAGGTTGCTTGTGCTGGATCCAAATTAGACTCATACTTGAAGCCATTACTTTTTTTGTTCAGGGGAGGAAGTTTCTTTCTATTTTTTTTTTTTTTTCACCAAAGGAAGGTGGAGATGGGGAATTTTCAGGTTGGTTTTGAATCCAAGACTTCCCCAACAAAACTGTACCTATCGAAATTAGATTTAGGAGTGTGAAGAGACCGGGCAGGTTATCCAAATAAAACAGAACTGCTCCAGTGCGCTTGCATGGTGGCCACGATACCATCAAAGTACTGTACATGAACCAATTTCTATTGAGGAAACAAGGTACAAAGAAACTCCCATATGGATACTAGCAGGATTTGCTGGTGTCTGGGGAAGATTATAAATTAGCTGGTTGCTGCTCACATCAGAGCCAAGCAGGGCACATTCAGTTTTTAATCTGGACCAATTTTCCGGATCAAAAACTAGTCTTTCCAAGGGATGTAAATGAGCCCAGGAGGAAATTTCCCCTGAAGTTTATGAAGTAGCTGTCATCTTAATCTGAGCAGCTTTCCAACCTGAAAGCCAATGTCTGGAAAAAATTATAAAGTAATGAAAAAACTCTTCTAGCCCAAACCTAGTCTAAACACTTCTTCTATCTCAAATGTGATGTAATTAATATGCCAAAGGATTCAAAAGGTAGAATTTCCACTATCAAAACGCTATCTGTGCTTCAAATAAAACCAAAGAGGCCAACGTGGAATATTCATGGCATGTATATCAGAATGAGATGCTGAATCAACCAGGTAGCAAATACTTTTAGGAGAGAAACTACAAAAAGATAAGAAAGGAAATATGGAGATCCATGTGAACAGTTTTAAATAATAGGCTTTTGTAAAATACTTTTTAAAAATTCTGCTTAAATTGATTGAAATCATTGCACACACTGCTTACACTTAAGAACTAGAGGTATAACTATGCCTTATTCAAAAATTGTGATTTGATGGTTTTACGTGAACAAACTTGGGAAATGCAATTGAACACGATGTGGTTACCTTAAGAAGTTAGAAAGAAACCCTTCATTGAAATCCTTGAAGGTATGAGAAACAATTTAATATACTATTACCTTGGACTGCTGTTATTATCTCCAAAATGAATTGAACAGTTTGTAAGTGTTATAGCCCACAATTTAAGTGTGGTGCAGATTATGATAATGATCCTAAATTTCAAGACAGTTATCAAGGTGCTGGCCATAATAAATATAACCAGAAGACTGAGGGTGTTTCCGGAGTTGAAAGGCAACAAATCATAACTCCAGATAGAAAGAGCCAATGTAAGAATATTTAAGCAGACATATGGGAACCTGTTAAGACTATCTTCTTTGCCCTCTGAGAAATTCTCCTTGGTTTGACTCTTTCTTATAGAAACATTTGTGAAGACAAACTGCACTTTCTGCAAGGTTTTGCAGACTGCATTCAAATAGTTATATTGCTTTCCATTGTTCATAAGATATAATTAATCCCATAAGACAACCACGCTTACAAAGTAAGCTAAGAAAAAACAGATTTTTTCAGAATTCTAAATATGGTCCCAGCAAAGAATAAAAATCGTTATTCGTGAAACAGTGTCGAGAACTGTATTGTTTAGAATGTTCTATTTTGAATAATCTCACAACTGAGGCCAAATCAAAAATACACGAAGACTTTTTATCTCCATAACTAGAGGAAATGCAAGTTATTGGGGTTTCAAGTTCTCCCCAATCCTTTGTAATAGCCTAGACTACAAGTACCTTTGTTTAAACTGCAGACAGGAGTTCAAGCACCCACTTAGTGCTCCTTTCTGAACAACGGCCCCAGAGTGGAAGAGGATCCTAACAGCGAGTCCACATCCCTACATAGTGCGTGGGCAGGACCGGAGATGGGCAGAGGGGGCTCCAGACAGACCTTCAGACACTTAGCAGGAAATGGGCTCTGGACAATATGAATTCAATAAGATGTTTAGAGACACAGGGGGAGCTTGTTTGACTCCTCTGCACAGTTGCAATCCTTTGTAATTGAGACAGCATGATCGCTCCCTCCTAGCTCTCTGTGCTCTCATACAGAGACCATACTACTGTGTCTGGAAAACTGATCGTTCTTGTAACAAACAAATGTCCCTAGAACCGCCTGGACTGGGGGAGGGCGAGGCTCGCGTCCCTTCTCAGCTCCCGGCAGAGCTGAAGCCGGCTACGCCGACGCGGGTCGCGGCAGCGAGAGGCGCTGCGTCGCCCGCTCGGGGCGCCCTCGCGGAGGGACAGGACCTGGGCGCTCGGGGCGTGGTGCCCCCCGGGCGGGCCGAGCGCGTTACCTGGTTTTCGGAGAGCCGATCGCAGCGACACAGCGCCGGGCCGGAGGCTGGAAGCCAGGAGCAAGAGCCGGAGCAAGATGCCTTGGATTAAATCCATTTCGCCGCCGGCGCCTTCAAAGTTTCGCCAAGTCCCGGACGCACAGGGAAAGGGCGTCTCCTAGGGGGTGTGGGGGACGCGGTCCCCGCGGATCCCCGGGCAGGAGGGAGGAGGTGGGAGGCTGAAGGGGCTGGACCTGGAACGGCGGGGGGAGTTTAAGGAGGCAGGACAGCAGCCGGGAGGTCGGCGTGCGGGAGTGAAGGCGGCTTCGAGCAGCAGGGCTTTTCTAGGGGGCGGGGGCGCCGGAGGAGGCCGACGGGGAGGGACGGGCTGGCCGCCGGAGGGAGGGAGGCTCGACCGGCCCGGGGATGAAATTACAATAGGGTGGAAGTGAGAGAGGCAGGCCCTGAAACAATTCCCTCCTCGCCCACCTCGCGAGCAGACAGCCCGCCCCTCACCCCCTCAAACGACCCCCAGCTCAGCCCTTCCCGGCTGGTGACCCAGATTGGGGACCTGGGAGGGCCTGACTTCAACCACTAGAGACGCAGGGCAGGAGTTAGTTGATTGCGGGTCCAGGACCCTCTGCGGTCCTGACCCTGAAGTCTCAGGGTGCCTCCGCCTCCCCTGGCTGGATCCTCCTCCAGCCGCGCCCCGCTAGGTCGCTTCCACCCAGCTTGGTGACTTTTCCTAACACCTCAGAGGTTGCTCTTGTCGGTTCGGAGCGCTAGGGGAAAGGCGGGTAGTCGGGGTGGGGGTCTGTGATTTGCAAGTGGGGTGGGGGCGAGAGGAAGAGGGGGCGGGCCCAGCCGGGTCTGTGGCGCTAAGAAGATAAATGGGATTTAAGGCGCGCAGATGGAGAGCGGCGGCCAGGCCACTCAGACTGGAGCGCCGAGCAGAGATTAGCGCCCGGCGCGGGGGAGTGAGGGTCCTTCTCCGCAGAGAAGGCAACTTGAGACCCACCAGGAGAGGAGATGAAACTCTAGGTTAAGCCTGACGTCTGGAGGAGGGACGCACACTCGAGCCCCCTGGCGGACCGAGACGTCAGGCTGGAAGGGGACACCCGCCCGCTGGGCTAGGGCTGGAGGTCGGGGTGGGGTCCTGGCCACTGATCCTGGCCTCCTGGGTTGGCTCCCTGACTGAGGAAAGACACTTTTTCCGCCTCTGAATTTGCTGCCCCAAGACTCGGTAGAAGGCACCTTTTGCCAGATTTCGCGCCCTGAGAGGGGAGACCTTGGGACCCAAGTCCTGTCGCATACTGGCGTTCTGGCCTCCAAACCAGGGTGAAGAGAAAGCAGATACAATAAATAAACCAAAAGGGAATAAACTAAGAGGCAGACGCAGCCCTCGCCAGTTCCTGGGGCAAGATCAAAGGCCCTAGGAAGTGTCCTGCAGAGGAAGTCTGCAGTCACTAGCAGGGAGGACACCGCCCCCGCCCCACCTTGCACTGCAGCCAAGGCTCGGTGGGCGTCCTGGCCCTTTCATTGTTTACCTAGGTTTGAGAGATCTGGAGGGAACAGTGCTGACTGATAAGTTTCCTTCCCTTCCCCCTAAGATTTCTCCTCTTTTAAGAATGAAGTATCCCCTGCCTAGAGGGTTTGTAGTAAGTTCAATTTTGTTAGTTGGCAAAACCAAGAAGAGACAAAATGTTCCCTTATATGCTGGCTTTTTTTCCTAAGTAGAGATGAATCTCACTATGCTGCCCAGGCTGGTCTTGAACTCCTGGCTTCAAGTAATCCTCCCACCTTGGCCTTCCAAATTGTTGGGATTCCAGGCGTGAGTCACCACGCCCTGCCATAAGTAGGCAATTTCAAGTGTGTAACTGTCCATATATAAATTCAAAATCCACTCCAACTTGAAAGTTTTAACTGTGACACCAGAGCTCGCCCTCCTACACAGAATTGGAACGGAAATGTCCAGGCAGAACTATGTTCTTTCTCTTACAGGGTGGCCACAAAGTCAAGCCAGGAAGCTAAGCAGTGTAACTACCCCCAGAGCTGCTAGTATTAACTAGAGACTCCTAGGATTATCAGAGCCCCTAAAGGTCATCTAGGTCCCCCCTCCATTCCACACAGGAATCTGCATTCAGCACTCTTGGCAAGTCATGCCACTTCTCTCTGAATACCACCTGTGTCAGAAAGCACCTACCTCACCACCAGCAGGAAGTCGCTGGGTAGCTCTCGTTATGTGAAAGTGCCACTTAACTTGCAGAGTCAAGCAAGTGTTGCAATGCAGACACTTCTCATGAAGGCTCTGCCCTTTCCTACTTTAAAATGATTCTCTCGGATGCAGACACTGGAAGTAAGAATAATCATTGATGTTATGGCTACCGTTTATATAAGATCTTCTATGTACCAGACCCTCTTTGAAGTGTTCTTAAATCCCAGTAGCAACTATACCAGGAAGGTACTGTTATTGGTTGGTATTTATCTCCCCTTTACAGATAAGGATACTGAAGCATAGAAAGGTTGAGTAACTTGCCCAAAGTCATGCAGCTCTCAAAAGGCAGAGCTACGATTGAATCCAAGATATCTGGTTCCAGCATCAAGGCTTTTAAGGAGACAAGGTGGAGAACAGACCCAGCAGTGGGCCAAGGATCAAGAGATCTGGGTGTTTAATCCTAGGCTCTACTTATTGTCACCTTGGTAAAATGAATAGGCTGGATGAAACAATCACTAACTTCAGGTTTTACCCTCTATTAGTTGATAGAACAGCACCAACTAACCTAAGCTATTTGTACTCTAAATGTGCCCTTTAAAAGACCTATACAAATTGTCCACTGCAAATTTTGCAAGCTTGGGTGTCTGCCTTCTCACAGATACCCTCCAATCCATTTTTCGTAGATGGCCATAGGAGATTTGGGAGACAGGCTTGGTTACTTCAGAGGTCCCTCTCATTTCTTCTTTGGGGATTACCTTTGATTGCATTGTTATATTTTACTTTTGAGGGCTCCAAACACTTCTGATCCTCAGACCACTGAAACAAGACCTCACTGCCTGAAATGTGGGGTGTGTGTTAGATGAACTTCCTCCCTACTTTCTTTTTTTTTGAGTCGAAGTCTCACTCTGTCGCCCAGACTGGAGTGCAGTGGCTGCTCCTGGCCACCGCAGCCTCGACCTGCTGGGCTCCAGCGATCCTTCCGCCTCCCTTCCTTTCCAGTTCAAGTCGCATCCTCCCAGGTTCCTTCTCCTTCCAGTTTGACAACCAGTTTATGGCACTTGTAAATCTGACTAAAGACAAATGGAACACTTGCCTCTCACTCTATCTCTGCCTCCTGGGAGGAGGGAAACTGAAGAGGATGAAGAGGATCTGAATGTTTCATTTTTTTTTTAATCTGTTCAAATTCACTTGAGGTCTAAACTCAATTAATAAGGTCACCAGCAGAAGAGTGGCCTGCCTCCTTTGCTCATTATCATGGAAACAGAGCCTGACCTTTGCTCCATGGAAAAGATTTGGAGGTTGTTAGAAGAAATAAAGGCAAACTTATCAATTAAACGAAGTTTAGTAAGACCCTCGATGAGAATGAGAAAGAGCCAGCAGCCAAGAACCATCTTCTGATTTAATTTATTTTTCTAAATTGGATATATGTACATATAAAACTTGAAATGTGCATTGGCCAGGCTCGGTGGCTCAGCCTGTAATCCCAGCACTTTGGGAGGCCAAGACTAGTGAATTGCCTGAGCCTGCAGGTTTGAGACCAGGCCGGGCAACTTGGCAAGACCTCATCTCTACAATAAATCAAAATTTAGCCAGGCATGGTCGCACGCACCTGTAGCTCTGGCTACTTGGAAGGCCGAGATGGAAGTATCACTGGAGCCCAGCAGGTCAATGTTGGGGTGGCCTTGAGTGTGCCACTGAACTCCAGCCTGAGTGACAGAGTAAGACTCCAACTCAAAAATAAAAAAGAAATGTGCATCAGAGTATACAGTGAAAAGTGTTTCCTTTCGCCCCTTTCTCTCTCAGAAGTAATTACCAGTTTCTTGGACATCTCTCTAGAGGTCTTCTATGAACATATAAGCAAATTATATACACGTATATTTAACACAGTCAGGAGCATCTGACACACGTCTGAACCTGAAGATTCTTCCAGATCAGCAGATGCAGATGTCTTTCTTTTACAAACTGCTGAACAATATTTTATTGTATGATGTGTAATTTACTTGTCTTTTCTTCTGTTGCTTCCTATTTTGTTATAGACAACACTGCATGAATGACATTGAATGTGTAACAAGTTGCACATATTGTATTAGTCTGTCAGGTTTATTTCTAGACTAACCATTGCTCAGTAAAAGGGTAAATGCCTTTTCAGTTTTGATAATTTGACCAGATTTTCTCCCAAGGAGATTGTACTAATTTACACTCCAACAAGCAATATGTGAGAGTGACTATTTCCACAAACTCAACATAGTGTCTTATAAAACTAGAACTATATATGACACATGTATATGTTTCATTGTAATCAAGATACAGCATATAGTATAGTTTCAAATAGTAAATGTACCACTTGATGAATTACAGCAAAGCAAACACAGCTGTATAACGTGTGTAACCACTGCCCAGATCAGGAAATAGGACATTACCAGCATGCCCACAAAGCTCTCCTCATGTTTCCTCTCTAGAAGTACATATTTTTGAAGGATAGGAATTCAAACTACCAACCAGACTCAGCGGCTCAGCCTATAATCCCGGTACTTTGGGAGGCCGAGGCAAGTGGATTTCCTGAGTCCACAGGTTTGAGACCAGCCTAGGTAATTGGGCAAGACCTCCATCTACAATAAATCAAAAATTAGCTGGGCATGGTAGCACGCACCTGTAGTTCTAGCTACTTGGAAGGCTGAGGCAGAAGGAATGCCGGAGCCCAGCAGGTCGATGCCGGGATGTCCATGAGTGTGCCACTGCACTCCAGCCTGGGTGACAGAGTGAGACTCCAACTCAAAAAAAAAAAAAAAAAAAATTCAAACTCCCATTTACTTTTAATTAAAAACGCACAAATAAAAGTCAATCACTAAAAAATATAAATACTCTCTCAACTCTAATATGAAATAGGCATTGAGTTGAATCTTACTATGTGTAAGGCTCTGTGCTAAAAACAGAAATAATATATTAGAGAAAATACAACAAAATTGTTTGCACTCAAGAAGTCTGTAATATTGTTGGGAGAAGACAGTTGCACAACCAATTTTTCCATAAAGCAGAACTAAGGAAGTTCTATATAAGAGTGCAAGCAATGTGCTGTTATATCAGATGACAAAGACCCTGTATTATAAATCATAACATATATAATAATATACCCCCAAATGCATAGATGTCTACTGAATTATGTACCGCCCTAAATAAATATGTTGAAATCCTAACTTTCAGTGTGACTGTATCTGGCAATAAGATCTGTAGGAGGTTTTGAGGTTAAATGA